TGTGGAATATCATGCAGCCATGAAAAGGAGGCCTTGCCATTCGAGACAAAAACGGGGCCTTGAGCACATTCTGCTGGGTGGGATGAGCCAGTGTAGCTCAGGTTGTGGAATATCATGCAGCCATGAAAAGGAGGCCTTGCCATTTTTGACGAAGGCTGGGCCTTGAGCGCATTCTGCTGGGTGGGATGAGCCAGTGTAGCTCATGCTGTGGAATATCATGCTGCCGTGAAAAGGAGCCCTTGCCATTTGTGACAAAGACTGGGCCTCGAGTGCATTCTGCTGGGTGGGATGAGTCACAGGCCATCTCCCCCATGTGGAATCTCACACAGCGGAGCTCACTTGCAGGCCCTAGTCTAAGCAGGGACCTTAAGGACGGCGTTTAAGAGGCTGAAATCTCAGAGGAGGGGTGGATGCCACACAGCCAGGGCCCAGGTGCACACGGTGTGACCACACAGGCATGGAGGGAGGTGTCCGAGCCTCGGGCCTGCCAGGCCGGCCCTGGACAGAGCAGGGATGCGGGCCCAGCGGGACGGGAGACTGACTCCACGTAGGGCCCGGTGAAATGGGGCAGAGAACCGAGAGCCAGAGGGCGCAGACATGCTGGCTGGGATGCGCAGTGGTGGTTTCGGGCCTGAAGGGCTGGGGCTGGGCTGAGTGGGGTCGCGCCTCTGGAACAGGGCTCCCGCGAAACCCCAGGGCTTGGGCTGCGCCCCTCCTGCGCCCCTCCCCTTGCGGGGGCTGGGCTGCCCCCACGGCTCACGCAGCCCGCCCGTCCGCAGGGGCCCATGCCGGCGGCCATGGCGATCGAGCGCTCCTCGGACTTCGGCCGGACCTGGCAGGTGTACTGCTTCCTGGCGGCCGACTGTACCTCGGCCTTCCCGCGGGTCCCGCAGGGCCAGCCGCAGGCCTGGCGGGACGTGCGCTGCCGGCCCCTGCCCCGGAGGCCTCACGGGCGCCCCGACGGGGGCCAGGTAGGGGACGGAAGACGCGGAGGGGGAGGGTCGTCAGGGCGGGTCCCCCAGTGGCCCAGGAGGCCCCAGAGCACCCTGGGCCCCGTCCCGGCTGAAGGCTGGGCCCCAGGCGCGTGCTGAGGGCTCACGCGGCCCAGCCTGCCTCTCCTGGCCTCCCCGCGCAGCCGGCCGTCCCCGGCCCTGGACGCCAGCTGGACCGCGCTCCGCCCCCCCCCCAGTCGGGTCGCCGTCTCCCCGCCCACGCCGGGGCTCCTGCCGCTGTGCCCGCCCACCCCCGCGGGCTGCCTGCTCGGTCCACTCCCCTGCAGTCTGCCGTCCCTTGGTCCGGGTGCCCGCGGCCTGGGTCCAGCCCCTCCACACCTGTGTTCACCGCATTGTGCACCCCCGTCGGGAAGGCGGACCTCTGCCTCGGGTGCAGAGGACGGGGAGTGGCTGCTGGGCACGGAGGGAAGTCGGGTCTAGCCGGGCCCGCCCCC